CACGTCACAGCATCTACTGAATCCGCTCGGCCAGGCGGCAAAGATTCACATTCCCGGAGTGAGGACTGTAGCCAGGCAGCCTGATTCATGCTCACAGAGCTTATTCCTGAGGCAGCGCTGGGGTCCAGTTGCGGGTCACAACCTGCAGGAGGGAGGAGGCCTCGTACCTGAGACTGCAGCTGCTCCAGGGCCGACCGGGTCAGCTGGAGCAGGGTGGCCACGTCGCCGGCCTCCTTCCTGTTTGGCTTCAGGGAGGACGTGGCGCCGTTGCGTAAAGCCCTTTGAGGGTTGAGACACTGTTATTGTTAAATAGAGCACGATGGGACTTTAAAGAGGCGGAAGGACGAGCTGCAGAGAGACACTTTACGCACTTGATGTGTGCAGGCCAGGGGTCCAGGGCGGGTCGGAGCATCTGTGAGAGGTGAAGCAGATTCTCCGCTGCGTAGAGCTCGCTCAGCAGCACCTCGGGATCCACTCGGCCTCCAGCTGACTTCTCACAGCCGGGTACTAAAGTTAAAAGCTGCTCCAGGAACCGAAGCTGCCTGTGGGAACTCGCTTCACCCTGGATGAAGGGTTTGATTAATCAAACAGATGAAACGGCCCCTTACTGTAACAAATATCTAGAAACATTTCCCTCCACTAGAAACTATGAGGCACTTGAGCTTATGTTGATGGTACCAGTTACACGTTTGGGTCAGAATTTGTCTGAATAACAACGAATAAGAGAAGCTGCACAGAGGAGATGAATAAATGATGTGAAGGTAAACAAAATGTGAGCTACAACACATTAACCACTGCATAAGAAGAATAACCCTTTATGCTTATAGCGTGGATGGTTAGCCACCAACATGCACATTTAAGGATTTGATCGGTTGGGGACATCGTGAAACTTCTCCATGCACATGCGTGTAAATCAGTCACCAGTTGGCTGCGTCCTCTCACCCTGATCAGGTCCAGGTCGTCGGCCCTGCACAGCATCAGCTCCTGCCCAAGCACGGCTATTTCTGTTTGCACCAGAACCAGAGAGTCGGCCAACATGTACGGAGCAGAAAGGTGGGCCTTTGAAACAAGACGACGTTACCTTTGGTCAGAACATCTGGGCTGCTGGATCTCAGCACCAGCGCCTTGGAGTGGGCAAAGCTTGGGTTGATACTGTAAGGTGACAGGCGGAGGCAGCGATTGGCTCGGGCCCCTTTGGTTAGGTGGAAACAGGGTGGACGTTCTCCTACCTGCTGCAGATCCACTTCAGGATGTCGGTGCGGTGCTGAGAGGGAGCGCAGAGCAGCTGCAGCATGCTGCCGGCCTCCTGCAGGTACAGACCGTCCACCAGGGGACAAGACGCCGCCTGAACCCAGAACAAACAGGACATCACTCATCCAGCTCCACCAGCGCCATGCAGGCTGCTCAGCGTCAGATATTATTATATGTATTACTCATTATATGATGCATTAATTACAGACGGCATGAACGCCAAACAGCGTCTCTATATTAGGACGTTAGCTGTTTATCATTATTGCGGGATATTATCCAGCACGTGATGAACGTGACCAATAAGCATCGTTATCTAAGTCACGATGTTTAAACAGCTTCCGGTAAACAGCCCCGCTGCCTGAGAACAGCTTTAGGAGATTTCCGTTTTCCCGCTTTTGTGGGAAACGTGAACGCGTCACGGCGGCGCACCGCGGAGGCTACGAACCCAAAATGTGTGACAATAAACATAATTACCAAACGACTCATTGCTAAAGCTTCTTCTACCTGTAATGCAGCATAAACGCGCCGGACGAGCTGCTCTTCTTTGGAAGTACCCGCCATTTGTGAAGCGTCGTCTTCTTCTGTGGAGTTTAAGCGTGTTCTTCTTCGTCTGTTTGTTATTCAGAGTTGTCAAACAGCGTTTGGGTGCATTACCGCCACCTACTGATTAACACACAAAACACACATATATATAATTACAAGAATAATTATTATAATACTCATAATTAATTTCAATTCAATTAGGGAACCTCCCTTTTCTATTGCAAAAACATATTCACAAAAGAATCTATGAAGCAAGTCAAACAATCTTAAAGATTTAAGTGTTTTTACCTCACATTGAGGAGACACAATTAGGAGCTTTTATAGTCTGGGGAGCAGCTGAAACCCTAAAAATCTGAACTCATAATATAGTAATGTTAATTATTTTTAAGTGAGGTGAGAAGGTAAAGTGTACGTGGAGAGTGGGAGGGATCTCACTACTGTAGCCTCTGTGACTGGAGAAGTTGCCTGACTCGTTCCTCTTCCCCGGTGTGGAACAGCTCTCGTCCCCATTGAGAGGAAGGATGGACGCAGCGTACAAACAGACTGGAGACGACATGGCTCTGGATAAAGTGGGCGACATCGAGGTAAGAACAAGCCCTCTCTTACTCCTGCTCTATGCTATTTTGTTTTCCCCATTTTCTGTTCTACTCTATTCTAATGTATTTCTGTTCTTTGTTTTTGTATTTCTTTTCTATTCTGCTCCATTCTATTCTAATTTTAACTCTAACCGTCCAACCCCATAAATCCTATTCTATCATTGCATGATCAAGTGAACAAGTATCTTTTGGGTAATCCTACATGTCTTTCATTACATCACATTAAACTACTGTCTTTAAAGTACAATTTAAGTGCTACAGTTTGTTTAGTGTTTTTTAGTCAGCGTAGTCTGAAGAGGTGTGTCTTTCATTTACAGTCATGAAAGATTTAGGAATTTTAAGACACAATAACTATATATGTGCAGGTCAATGAGAGTCAACTGGATAACTGAACTACTGATATAATGTGCAACATATTGACAGCAATGTCAGTTATGAAATCAGTGTGTCTTCTAACAGCTGCCAGTGCTGCTTTGAGATGAATGAAGGCTGTGTGAGAGAGAGCGTTGCACCCAGCGTGTGACGTCTTGTTCACCGACAGGAGTGGGCACATCCCTGAGAAACCACCTCAAATTCCTCCGTGCGCTCTCACTGGCACGCCTCTGCACAATGCTGGCAGGCCTCCGCTCAATGCTGGCACGCCTCTGCACAATGCTGGCACGCCTCCGCTCAATGCTGGCACGCCTCTGCACAATGCTGGCACGGCTCTGCTCAATGCTGGCACCCCTCCGCACAATGCTGGCACAATGCTGGCACAATGGTGGCAGGCCTCCGCACAATGCTGGCACGCAATGCGCTTGTGTTCAGGTCTGTCTGTCTCAGCTGCTGCTTGCCGCTCCCTCTTCTCCTCTAACAACCTGCGTGCACACAGATCACAGCAACACAACACAAAACACCTCTCTGTTGAACCCGCCCACCCCTGACGTCCTTTAATCCCTCAGGCACTGACAGCCCCCCGTGGAAAGGTGCATCGGCCCATCAACTTGAATCACTACGCCACCAAGAAGAGTGCGGCTCAGAGCATGCTGAACATCGCCCTGCTGATGGCCAACTCGTCCCAGCTGAAGACCGTTCTCTACGTGGGGCCCAACTACCGCTTCTACGTGCCCCTCATCGCCCTGCTGTCTCTGTCCATCACGCTTCAGGTCCTCGTGGGGCTGTTGCTCGTCTTTATTGGCAAGTCACCCACAATTTTTGCATCTTATCTACACATTCCTTTGATCTGGGAATCGGTAAGTTTGGGAGGCGCAAAGAATCAATGCAGGCAAGAAGACATCAAACAAGCTTCAGCCGTGTCTGAGTCATCGATGCTAAAGACAACATTGGTGCATTGAGTTCCCTCCGGTCAACAACTACTTTGATTATGAATCCATAACTGTAAGATGAAGTCAGCATTTTCCTGATTGTTTCCTGATTCCTGATTCAGGTTCTTTCATTTGGGCTAAAAAGTGGTGACAAAAAAAAAAGACAAAATGGTGCTTTGTCATGTAGACAAGCAGAGCCGAGGATGACAAAGACCCAGGTGGACGTGAACGTCTGTGGCTCTTCTGTGCATCCACACATGTGTTTTGAGCCATCACCTCTTTCTCCAATCACCCTAAAACTAAACTAAACTAAACTAAACTAGCTAAAACCGGACTACCGTGACGTCTCAACACTTGCACCTTGTTTCCTGTTGGTCCTTTGTGAAATTCATACGCACAACTCCAAATGGTTGTAAGATTCTCAAGTGCAGTCCTAAAACACCAACAGGAGGTAGCAGTTCTTAGAGGTTTGGGTTGTTCTGCGTGTACGTTAGTAAAGAGCGTATTAATCAGTGAGCTGCAGGACTTTGGTGGCTTCCAGAAAGAAGAAAACCAGCCTTCATACAAACTTCTATCAATCCTCTCATCTCCTTTGACCAAAAAGTAATGAGTGTATTTCCAACATTTCACACAGAACTCTTCATTCCCTTTAGTGCTGTATTTTCTTTAAATAACCAACATGTCGATTTGCAGTTGTATATTTGGTAATCAGATCAAACAATTAACTCCCTCTTTGATGATTTGGATATCCTCTCCATTTGTTATATAATTATTAACTACAGTCTTTAATTTGGTATTTTTCTAAGTCTGTCCTCCAGTCTGTCATCGCCCTCTTAAAGCTCACTTAGCTGTTGTTGTTGTGTGATTGTGCGTCAGCAGTGAAGTACGACCTGAACGATGTGAGGAAACAAGCCAAGCTGAACACGTTGAACAACGTAGCGACCGTGTTCGTCTTCTTCACCGTCCTCATCAACATCTTCATCACTGCGCTGGGGTTTGATGGAGAAGCGATCAGGTAAAGACCCTCACAGAACACACACAGACAACTAAGGCGCTTTTTCTGTTGTCAAACCTTGTCTTTTCTTCACAGGTTATTCAAGTCACCTGCGATGTCAATAGCAGAGTTTCCAGTCCTGCCGATCCACGACAATGACACTGGTGGCAATTAGAGCAGGTTTTGGACCACGAAGACGTTTCCTTGTTGACCTGAAGCCTCAGAGCCTTCAAATCTAATGGCCAACGATCCTCCAGCTGGAATAAACTCATTTCTAATTGGATTTAATGGATCCACATTAGGAGACTTTTGTGGATCCAGGTTGGGAACAAAGACTCGTCAAACAAAACCTCAGCGAGCATCTCCCTCAGCCTCCATCCAGGACCACAGGCAGACAGAAGCAAACCTCAGCGAGCATCTCCCTCAGCCTCCATCCAGGACCACAGGCAGACAGAAGCAAACCTCAGCGAGCATCTCCCTCAGCCTCCATCCAGGACCACAGGCAGACAGAAGCAAACCTCAGCCTCACCACGCGGCCTCACCTTCAGTCCTCCACCGCTGTGCGTTTTCTCACAAATATAAGAGATTTTATTGATTCAGTTCAATGTTCCATTGGTGGAAAGCAACGACCCCTGAACCCTGGAGAGGATGACTGGTATTTTTGCACCGCTTTGTCCCAACGTCAGCGGGGTTGATGAAAGGCTCTTTGGTCAGAGATCTGAATTAGTTCTGTGCAAGAGGCTCAGAAGAGACTTTAGCCTTCATATTACATTTTCTATGGCATAAAATACGTAGTAAAATTGTGAATTTTGAAACTTTGACATGTTCTTAACACCTCCAACAAAAGAATCAGGGAACATCAACTTCTGGGTTGACTTGCCTGTGTCCCCGTAGGCCAGATCCCTGTCGCCCTCCGTGTCTGGAAACACGCCCACTGGCCGGTTAATACTTTGACATTCTTGGTAAACATGTTATAACCAGTTGTAACCATCGACAGATGACAACCTTTGGTTTTTGAATGGGAGTGACGATTGATGGATTGGAAATAAGGATTTTCTGTTGTGCTACATGATAACACAGGCTGCATAGGACCAACTCACACATGTGACGGAACCGCTGCATGAAACAAATCAAATATAAAAACTCCACAAAGAAGCAAAGACATTAAAAGGAGAGGCTAACAGCATTCTTTATTTCACTTACTGTCGATAAACCCTATGAAAATAAAACAACCTTCAACAACCCAATGGTTCCTACTGGAGATGGACTTTAGAACTTTACTGGCTCAAAAATATACATACTTTAAAAAAGGGTGAATTTTTAGGGACTATTTTCAGCAGTGCAGTAAAGCACATGTGGGGGTCAGAATAAACCACATTGTAGGTTAATGGTATGAACACGTCGTCCTGGGACACTGAGTCTCACTGACGGGCTTTCAACTGCTTTTTGACACCACGCTTTGTTTAGACGTCAGACTAAAACTGAAGTGAACAAAGCACGGCGGTGTGAGATGAACGATGCAAAGAAACAACAACAGGAGGAGCAAACTCAGACTACACAATATCAACGCACGTTGTTTAAGGCGAATCGTCCTCGTTGGTCAGGGGGGGAAACACTGACGACAGAGGAGCTTTGGTTCATTTGAATGGTTTTGGTTTTACTGGCACAGTGACGGAAGAAAGAGCATTTAGAGGTTGTTGGAATGTGATGAAGAAACCCGGACAACCAACGAGATCATTGAACGTTGAAGGGACCCTCTTCTTCCTGCCTTCGGCAGTAGGCGTAGTAGAGTGCCGCCGCTAACACGGCTAACAGCAGCAGCAGGCGGATCAGCTTCCATGCGCGGCCTCCAGGCGGCGTGTCCAGCGGCCCGGAGCGCCCTGCGCCGTGATTGGCTGTTCGGTTAGCGACGGGGGACCTGAAGCGCGGGAGTTGAGATGAGATTTACTCCAGCGGACAGACTGCCTTGCGATGGCGCACCGCTCGTTAATCATACACACTCACTCGGTTTCCTGGCCGGACTCCTCGTCCTCATCGGGCTCAATGTTGCCTCTTCGCTTGAGCCTGAATGGAGGAGAACTTTATCTACTCATGCAGAACACAGCTCCACCGGCCCACGGCCTCGGCGTTGGCAAGGAGCGGACTACACTTACGGAGCACTGTACAACATTCTTGGTACACACCTTTATGTTTCCCAGCAGCCACGGCTGCTCGGGGTGGTTTTCTGCTCTAATGAGCAAATGTTAGGTTGCTCGACTGTTTTACTAAGACGATGACATTAGTGTCCCACAGATACTGTTTCATCAGGATGCAGAGTAATTATTTTAGCTACTGCAGAGGTGTAACACAACGCTCGCTCTTATTAAATATGGCTATCTAGCCATTATAAAATGGATCTTATAAACCTCATCAAACATGTACTTTTTTACAATAAATCAGTTGAAATGATGAAGGCACTTTCAATAGGTAGTACAAAATGTAAACCATCCTATGCATATTATATACTTGGGTCCTAAGGAGAGTACAGACTTTCTCTTGACCATAGCAACCGCCTCAACCACGACTCATTGATCGACACGCAGACAAATCAGTGTGGAATTGACCAACAAACCAAACGTAGGAGGTTATGTGCTCCGTCATGTGAGTGAGTGTGCACCTCTGTGTCCACGGATAATCTCCAGCCTATCAAAATGTTTGAAGACAAAAGGCAGTATATATATCGTGTGTGTGTTAGGCGTGTACTCACATGTCGGACTCTTGTCTAACCTGTGGGAATGAAAGCAGTAGAGTTTGGAAGATCATTCACGGTCGCGCAGCAGAGGAATTTGCCAGAGGAACACGACAGGGACTCACCGGACTGTGGTATGTGATGTAGGTTATTTCCTCTGCTGCGAAGAAAACAACACACAACTTGTTGTATCTTTGGGACATGAACATTTAGAAATGAATAGTGAACCCTACATGGCAGATTTGACGAGGTAACGTATTGGCCAGCCTCAAGGCAAGTGAACGTCTTCCCTCGCGCCGATGTATGTGGCCTGTAATATCTGCATCACATGTTAGACAGAGAAACAAATGAACACCCTGCTTTTCCTGCAGCTTTTTCCACATTTACCTTGAGAAAACATTTTTATCCAAAGCGACTTCCAATAGGTGGATTCAACCAAGAGGGAACAGACTCAAAACAAGCATCACAAAATCTCTTCAAGAAAGCAAACTACAAAGTGCTACAAGTAACTGCTGCGCCAAGTGCTAATAAAGTGCTACCGAGTCCAGGTAGAGTTCTTCCCGGTGGGTTTTCGGTTTGGCTTTCTGCGGTCCTGGTCTCATTGGGGAGCTCAATCCACCGTTTAGGAGCCAGGACACCAAACAGTGGTGATGTTGAGTGTTCAGCTCTCTGTGAGGGAGGGAGGGAACGTACGGTTTGACCATGTCCTGGATGCACATCTGATCAGGCTGCTGCAAGGTACCAATGTTTCTAACGGGTGGGGGCTTTAATCGGTAACCAGTCAAGGTAGCGGGCTGGAGCAGATCCTGAGACACAGTTCCTGAATGGTGGAAATCAGGATCTGGTGGTTGACTGTGTCAAATGCAGCAGAAAGGTTGACAAGGACAGAGGAGAGGGAGGCTGCTTTGGCAGTGTGGGGTTGCTCAGAGACACCAAGTCTCTGTTGAGTGCCTTGACGCCTGACTGGAGAAGGTCAAGAAGACTGTTATGCCTCATTGGAGGAGAGTTGGTTAAAGATGGACGTTTAGGAAAGAAAGAGCAGAAGAGAAACAGGCCTGTTAACTTCAGACGGCTTGAGGCTGTGTTTCATCAGCAGAGTTGGGAAACAGACGGTTGAGAGGAAAGTGTTGATAAGACGGGTGAGGAAAGGAAGGTCAGGAGCAATAGACTGAACAATGAGAGACGGGATGGGGTCAAGGGGGCAGTGGTTTGGCGAGGTGAGAACCTGGTTGGTCACACTTGGTGTCTGTGGCGAGTTGAGATGTATGATTGAGAAATAGTGCGTCGAAGGGAGGGCTGATAAGACAGAGGAGGCCAGAGAGGAAGGAGAGAGGGAGCGAATGGTACGACGGACAGTCACAGGCAGTTGATGCGATACGGATGTCAGATTGAGTGAGGTGGAGAAAGTCAGAGATAAAGTAGTGGTCAGTGATATGAACTGGAGTTACAGTTTGATGTAGAGCAGTTTCAGCTGAAGATGTACTGAAGTCAAGGGGTTTGTGAGTAGGAGGGGAGGGAAAAGAAGCCTGATGGATTGTTGTATCTGAAGTCAGTCAGGCATCGTCGATTCCGCCTCCCCTGAGAGGTCACGAGCCAGACGGATCAAATCGCAGCTGAAGAACCTGGACACGCAACCAGGCTCACATTCACAGGCGATTTCAGTCACCAATTCACTTATTCAGTCTGACTGAGGTAGCGCGAGTACTCGAGTACCCAGGATCTCGTTGCTGGGAGGCAACAGTGGTAACGCCCACACCCCCGTGCTGCCCCACAAATACCTTTGGTTCATTCCCATCTGTGTTAGAGAAACTCCACCTTGAGTGGGCGGTGGCGTACGGCGTAAGCAAGTGCCCCCTTGTTCTTCCTTTCTAATGTAAGAACACGCGTCAACCTTTTCTTGCCATGTTTTACTATTTTAAAAGAAGATTGAAAGGAAGAAGTTCACTTGCCTGGCGGCTGGCCATCCATTAGACCCGACCAAACAAAACAAAATGCCCTTTGGTTTCTGTCCACAGCCCGTAGAACACACTGCAGAACGTGTGCTACTAAGCGGACGTTTACTGAGGCACACATGCTTTTTGAACCAGCAGACTAAGGAGCCTCCTACCTTCCTCCCTGTAGAAGGTCTTATCAGGTGAAGGTACCACAGCAGCCTTCTCCATGGCCACCTCAAGCTTCTTCTCATACAGGTTTCGAGTTGAGTCTGCAACCACACAAACACAAATTGTGCAGAATAAAATTAAGAAGTTAAAATGAAAAATGTTTGATGACACTGGAAAAAGTTTGTTTCATTTGATTGTAGAATAATTTTAACTAATGTTTAAAAACCTGACAGACACATGTGTGTGTGTGTATATATATATATATTATACAGAATGGTGTTTCGATCACAAAGACTGGTTGAAACATGTTTTCATAAGTCAAACCCAGCGATGAGATGTAGAAGGTGCTATGATGTGTATTTCTGAGGAGCATCTCAGGAGGATCATCATGTCCTCCACGCTCTCCTTACCGACTACGGGCCCATGTTTGATGCCATATTCACCAAGCAGCTTGCTGATCTCACTATTACTCTTCTCACTCAGAGACATCTGCGGATGGATCAGAATACAGATCAGACGGACGGACACGATGGAGCGGCAGAAAGGGGCGGGGACAAGTGACGTCACCCAGCTGCCAAACGTCACAGACAAACGATCGGAGCGCAAACCAGTTTACGAGAGTTAACGTTAGTTTACAACATTTTGAAAGTCCGAGAAAGCGAGTTGGAGCCTAAACTCCATTAATGTGAGAACCCCTAGTTGCTCTTTATGCTGCGTGGTTTGTGGCGCGTAATAAAACGCTTTAATGTTTCCATGAATATGTTACTAAATAGCGCGAGCGACACACGCCGGCATTCAGTCGAGCGGCCGCGGCTGTGGACGCGAGGTCGGCTCGCTTACCTTCGGGTCCCGTGCGAGGCGGCGTGAGGAAGCGGGACGGGGCCGCGGGGGAGGACCTGCTGCCCGGATCCGGACACGCCTTCTCCCGGTCTCCGCCTGCTCCGGGGCCGCGTTCCGTTTAGCTGTGGCTGTGTGTCCTTGAGGACGCGGCCCACCATGTCCCAGCATGCAGTGCGGGCCGACGAGGATTTCATTTATTCACGACGGAGGCGGGTGATCCGACAGCGCGGAAGAGTTCACTTTTAAATGTAATAGATGCACTAAGTATATAATTATTATCTACCGATAGAAATGTTATAATATATAACATCACATCTTAGTTTATGAAAGTTACAGACTATCACTATCACCTGAACCCCCACACAGCCCGTGACCCAGACTATCACCTGAACCCCCCCTGGTCCGTGCTGCTGCCCCCCCACACACAGCCCGTGACCCAGACTATCACCTGAACCCCCCTGGTCCGTCTCACGTGGTGGGGGTCTTGTGACGCTCTGGACCTCGTCAGAGTTGATGGAGCCATGAATTGTGTTCTCTACCAGAACAGCCTAGAGGACAATGGCCGTTTGTGACCTCAAGCTGAAGGTTTGGGTTCTGCACCGGGACAATGAGCAGGTCCACCAGGACAATGAGCAGGTCCACCTAGCTAATGTCTGGACTCAGACCTGTTTGAGATGCTGTGGTACCTTTAACATGCTCAAACCTTCCTATGTGGGGACCTGTTACGTCCCTTGTCTTCATATTGTCTCCGTCTCAGGAGAACGCGGCTCTCCAGCCGCTGAGACAAGCTGCGGTGCATCAGGCGATCAGCGGCGCCTACATTACATTCACCCGTCTCTTCTTTCCAGCGCCGTGTCCTCCGGTGGCGGAGACTCACCATGAGCTTCTGTAGGGTTCGATTTATTTCAACAATTTTGGCCTTTAAGACCCGGATGTCATCAAACTGGAAACGGTTCAATAAAGGACATTATGTTAGTTGACGCTCGCCTGTGTTATAACGTTTACTGTATATACACAGTACATCAAAAAGGAGGTGTGGACCTATTTCATGCTGGACAGTCTCGATGTCTTTCCATCATCTCGGACCTCAGCTTCTCAACCACAAAGATCTATAGATTATTTAATGTTATCAGCATTGAAATATTAATTGAATTAATCTAGAAATACAGAAACCTAAGACATGACACTTCTGAACCTGTAGGTTTTATTTTTTATTTTACAAAAACATAGTGACTAATATTCTGGGATTGATGTGGAGCATTAAACGTTTATTGATATATCACTCATGAAAAAATAATCCAAGAATAAAGAGTCACTTCTGACGTCTTGGGACAAATAGTGAAGGTGCCATCAGGAACATGATCGCGTAGAAAGCGGCTGGCCGGAGGGTCAAAGACATGATGTTTGAGGTTCCTCTCCTGCAGCGGCCTCTGGAGGAAGAACCCGAGTCGGCCCGACCAGGAGCACGAGCGTTCCAGGACGGGCGTCGGATCCTCAGCGGGACTCTGGCCGCGTAGCAGTTACATAAGGACACATTCGACTGAACTCACCTTTACCTGCTTTGGATTTGTCACGATTTAGAGTTCAATAAGACACAGAAACAGAAGAATACTTAGACAACTTTATTGTGTATGAAAATACTGTTTTACAAACACTTTGAAGCCTTTTTTAAATTGGGACAAGATTATTTATATATATTTTTTGTTCTGAAAGAGCTAGAAGGACAGAGGGAGAAAACAAAGCAACAGCTGTTCTCTTGTGGACCGTTTCCTTTTACGTTACGTGATAATACTCATCTTCATCAGTCCAGTAGAACATCAGAAACTTCCCTTTTTAAAACATCGGCCTTTCTGAATCAGTTTTACAACCTGATGAACACGCAGATCGCATGTTGTGTGCCGTTAACACAGCAGCCGTGTTCATAGAGCAGACAGACCAGTAAGCTACCGTGAACCTCCCTATTCTAATCCATGTGGCGGCTTTAAGTGCATAAAAGTGGAGCACGCTAGCAGGTCAAGCAGCCGCGTTAGTTAAGAGCGCCATGAAAGCGGCGTGCTGCAGTGAACCCGTGCTGAGCAATCGTAGAACGGGACAACTGAAGACCGCGCGTCGGTTCAGCAGATTGTTCATAGAAAACTGAATCCATCGTTTATGAATGTTAGAGAAGCTCCTCCAGTGTAAACCGTGGCCTTCATCCAATGCTGCTGGGGCCACGCTGCTGCTACGCTAACCAATCGCTGCTCACCAGTTCAGACCGCTCGGCTAATGACGGGAACAAACAACAAGGCGCATCTTTTCCACGTTAAACTTACTGAAGGATGCGATTAGGCAGAAAAACAAATCGACTCTGAAGAGCGCAACATGTGTCCATGCCTTCATCTGAGGGAGGGTCAGGACCACGTGTTGACCTGAGGGTAAACACTGATGCAGGACACGGTTTTCTACGGAGTTATAAGACAGAAATGTGTAAAACAGGAGGGACTTGAAGTCGTAAACAATGGTGGGTTAGACTCTAGATAGACGCTCAGTGGTTGAGGAAGGCGATGGTGGCTTCTCAGACGTTTATGTGGTAGGGGCTGCCGGGGATGTGCTCGTCTCCCCACTTGACCACCAGGATGTACTCGCCCTTCTCTTTCAGCTGGTAGCTGACGTTGTACAAGCGGTTGCCCAGATGTTTGACTAGGATCTCCTCACAGGGGACCTTGGGACCGTCCACGCCGACCAGGAGCATGTTACGTCCTGAGCGTGGAGACAGAGCAGATCAATATGGCCGCCGGTTTCAACTCATAATGCTTCATTATCACAGTTGAATTCACAGAAAATGAAATCGACCAAGACTGCAGACTACGTGTTGCTGTCAGCCATTTGCGGGATAGAATTCAGTCGGTAACGCGTGTACCTCGTACTTTACTGAGCGCCACCTGAAAGCAGAAGAATCACAATCCCACACCTGCTTTGCTGCAGTCGACACTGAAGCTGTTCTTCTGGCCGACGAAGGCCTTGCTCAGGCCCGGCCCCTTGGCCGTCACCTTGCTGGCATCGGACTTAGTGGGAGCTCCCTGCTGAGAACAGCTGATGGCCCGGGTCACGGGGTCGACCATGACAGAAGACGTCTCGTGCATGCTGTGGCTGGACACCAGCTTGGAACCTGGAAGCCAGAGTGGAAGTTCTCAGGTCTCAGGGGGATTCACACAGTTTTGGTCCTGCTTGCCTAAAGAAAGAGTTCCTCACCAGTGATCTTGGCTTTGAAGGGGCTCCCGCCGATGTGGTAGGGGCCGCCGTATTTGATGGAAATCAAGTAGTTGCCAGGAGCCATTGGGGTGTACGTGACCCTGTAGCCCTCGGGGCACTCCACACAATCCATCTTCACCTTGGAGGGCCCATCGATGGTCACCGCTAAAGCACCAGGACCCGCTTTGCTCGTGTTCACCACAAATTCACACGCAGTTCCTGGGGGCAGAAAATGAGGACTGGTCCAGTAGGTCCAACAGGACTGGGGACGAGACGGCTCTGAGAGGGGCAGCGGGTTACCTGTGGTGCCTCCCTCCAGCCCCGGCCCGTAGGCCGACACCATGCCGGGGTCTCCGGCCTGGCCCGTTTCTCCCACTCGGATCTTAAACGGACTTCCAGGGATGTGACTTCCATTGAACTTCACATCGATCAGATAGAGGCCGTTCTCTCTGGGGATGAACCGAACTGCGTACTTATCTGGACAGACGGGAGGGGGGGGAAAGAGTACGTAAAGGTGCCTTTGGTGAGTGTGGCCGCCGACTCTGCGTCTCCGCGGTTACCTTGGTCTATCTCGGTGACGCAGCACTCCTCCAGAGCTCCAGACGGACTGTGGACCTTTGCGTCGATCGCCCCTTTGGCTCCGTTCAGGCTGACGGCAAACGACGCCGGCTGGTTCACCTTCAAACCCGACTCCTGCTCGACAACACATACTCACACGCTCAACTCTGCGTCACCAAACGGCCGGACGTCTCCTCCCGCCGGCCGAGCACGACAATCACAGATCAGTCCATCACCACAGACTACACCTACCTGCAGGCGGCTAACAGGGCTAAAGAGGAGGGCTGTGCAGCACAGGAAGCAGTTATTAGTGAGAGGACAAAAGCCAGTTTGGACAGTGGGACTGAGCACGTCTGTAAGTGTAAGTTCATGTGGATCACAGTAGACCAACATGAGGAGAAAGACTCATTTGACTAAACCTGCAGAAAAAAATAGCTGGAATAAAAATGTGAAATGTTTTGTTTTTATTCCGTCTATTTAGTTTCTTTGTGGCGGTGTTTCCATGTGTGAGGGAGCCCATGTCAGACCTCTTTAACCCTTCAGCGCCCCGTATCACTTCTACAGGTGGGAGGCTGTTGGCAGCCTTTAGAATGAGGCACGAGAAACACACACAGTCCTCTAGTGTCCCAGAAGCCTTTGCACCGCCTGACAATGCAGCAGCAGCAGCTCTCACGCCTCCTAAAACATCCACTTGTACCGCAAACAGAACTCCCACTGCTGGTGCAGCTGCATTGAGGCAGCGCGCTGCGGCCTGGCGTGTGTGTGTGTCTCAGAGCCTCACCTGAAGACTGGCCACAGTGAGGCGCCGCGCGTCATCGGACGGCGAGGCCACGGGGACCACGAAGGGGCTGTCGGGGACGTGCTCGTCATTGAAGCGGATCGACACCTCGTAGTCTCCTACAGGAAACAGGCGTCGGGTCAGAAAGTCACAGCAACGCGTGGCCCAAAACGTTTGGTAACAAGACAAACTGATTTATCGTCCTCATCGTTTCATCCGCCCATTGACCCCCCTTCTCTCACCGGGCTCCTGCACCATGTAGGACACTCCACTGGACCCGTCTTTGCGGTCCTCGAAGGCAATTTCGGCCTTGCTCGGCCCCTCCACAGCAATACTGAGACCTCCGGCGCCGGCCTCCCGCGTCCAGATACTGAACTCGGCTACACACACACACACACACACACACACACACACACACACACACGGCCGGGTCAGGTTGGCGGTGCAGAAGAACACGTGTGCACTGATGGTCCAGCCCCCACACACACTAACCTGGCACTCCGGCTTCGGCTCTCTCCAGGCCCGGCCCTCCGGCACGGACCTTGTGAGCGCCGCCCTCCCCCAGGGGGCCCACGGTAAACTGGAACGGGCTGCCCGGCACGTGCACGCCGTTGTA